TTTAGCTACTGAATTTTCTATTTTTCTTATTAATCTATGTGGGTTTTTTATAGAGTAATTAAGATAATTACTCTAAGATGTGCGTATTTTATGCTAAGAATTTTTTTTTCAAAATTGCCACTTAATATTACATTTTTTTAAAATTCAAAAGTCCATAAACTTTACCTATTCAAATCTGACAAGCTTTGTGATAACTACTATTAAATTCTGAGCCTAAAAAGTCACACTTCCTGCCCCAAGGTTTGGTGAACATTTAATCCTAACGTCCTCTAATTTCTCTGTGGTCCCCATTTTTCGTTCTGTGCACAGCTGGCTCCTCAGCACTGCTCGGTGTCAGCTCCACTGTCACCTCCTCGGAGGGGCTTTCTCCAGAGACCCAACAGAAGGCGCCAGCTCCAGTTTCTACCACCTCCGCCTGTTTTCCTTTCTTACTACCACTTATCACTCTATTTGTTTATTTTTCTACTGTCAAACTAACTGCCTCCACTAGAATGCAGGAACCATGACGGCAGCATCATAAGGAGGCTGAATGTTTCTGATAAGCTAAGTCAGTGATTTGCAAACTTTTTTAAAGGAAGAACACTTTTCCTCTCCACAAAAACAGACAAAAACACTGCAAGAGTCCAGATTCCTCAGGCTGTTTGTCCCTTTCTATTCAGCTAACGTATCCTTAATCTTTCTGCATGAAGCTCCTGATCACCGTGTGGAACCCTAGGGTTCCTCCAGCAGATCCTGCAGACACGCCTTCAGCTGTGTCACCATTTCCTAATCTTTAAAATAACGATACCTACCTTAAAGGCCTGTTTTAAAGATAAGTGATAGTGTATACAGTGCAGTGTCTTTGCTCAGCAGAAGAGTAGCTTCGTTCCCACTAGAAGGCACACAGAAAGTGAACCACCCCTCTAAGGGATTCCCATTTTCTTATCATTGAAATAGGTGCTGATTGTTTCTATACTTTAAACCTCTGTGGCCTTAACTCTCTATTAAGCTTGAGGTCAGTCTGAATTTGGTAAGAACAAAAACGTTCTCATTAATAAATATAT